ATTCACCTAAATAAATGAGTTTCACTGTACTAGCTTTGATCGCTTCGGTAAACTCATCATAAACGGGGCGTTAACATACACGCGTAACACGCCTATTTGCATTTTATCGTTGTCAGCTTTGTTGCATTACATTTACTTCACCAGGAGATGGTGCTGCAATTTCTATCTGAATGAAGCTTCGACTAATGAACCATTTTCGACACAATTGTATCAGAAAACAATAATGCTTCGAAACGCTTCATTTGGCCATCACTAACTGTGTCTCTTTAGAAAATTCAAACTAAATCACTAAATTCATATGGTGTTAAATGCATTAATTTATGGTATACATGATGATACATTTTTTCCAGGAATCATTAACGAATAGACTTTTCAAAAGAACAGCATTAAAGGAGTAGTTCACTTTTTAAAAAAAATAAAAACTTTTGCTGATAATTTACTCACCCCCATGTCATCCAAGATGTCCATGTCTTTCTTTCTTCAGTCGAAAAGAAATCAAGGTTTTTGATGAAAACATTCCAGGATTTTTATCCATATAATGGACTTCAATGGGAACCAAACGGTTCAAGTTCCAAAAGACACTTTTAGTGTAAACTGCAAACTGTTCAAAGGGCTTTAAACGATTCCAGACGATGAATAAGGGTCTTATCAAGCGAAACGATCGCTCATTTAATAAATAAATAACAAAGTTTACGTTTTATAAGCTCAAATGCTCGCCTTGCTCTGTTGCTCGTGTTTTTGACTCTCCTGTTCAAATTCGTTCATCAAAATGAACAAATCTTTTTTCTGAGTCAATTCGTTCGTTACGTTCGTTGAATGATCCAAATGACTCGGAAAAAAATTTGTTCATTTTGAATAGGAGAGTCATAAACACGCATCACAGAACAGAGCAAGGTGAGCATTTGAGCTTATAAAACTTAAACTTTGTTATTTACTTACTTATTTATTTTTTTATTTATTAAATGAGCGATCGTTTTACTTGATAAGACCCTTATTCATCGTCTGGAATCGTTTAAAGCCCTTTGAACAGTTCATTTCTTCCTTTGAACTTCATTTCTTTTCGACTGAGGAAAGAAAGACATGGACATCTTGGATGACATGGGGTTGAGTAAATTATCGCAAAAGTTTTTTTAAGTGAACAACTCTAACTCTAATTTGAATTAGAAATCTTTTGTTAATCTTTCCTGTCACCCTTGATCAATTTATAAAATGTTTAATTTCAGAGACCATGATTAAGATGGAATGGGTTAGTTTTGTGATTTCCATTCATTTCCTCTTCCGCCTTGTATTCACAGTGGTTGTAGGCAAGGTAAAGGGCCTGATTGAGAAGGGTGAGTTTGGACGTTTGTTTGCTGTAGTTCATTTTGCTGGCCGTCAGTGGAAGGTGACCAATGAAGACCTGATCCTCATCGAAAACCACATCGATGCAGCATGTGGCGACAGGATAAGAATGGAAAAGGTTCGACCTCAGCTTCACACTTTCTCATCCGCTCATACAGATATTCGTACAGATTTACATGCATTTCTTTGTAGCTTATTGAACTAGAGATGCACAGATTATCATTATTCATCCGTTGGACATTCTTTGGATAAAAAACCTTTTCTAGTAGTCCCTAAAAACAAAATCAAGACTTTGTGACGGGGCATTATATATCCTCTTTAAATCTACAGTAGCCGAGCTATAAAATCCAAACTAGTATTTACTAGCATTTCTCAGTTGAAACCCACATTTTCATGGAAGACAACATGCCATTAAACCTAAATGGATTTGTTTCCTTAATTTTGTTTTTTGTTAATTTTCACTTACATGCTACACGAGTACAGTATTTCTATGGTAATCGGTTGTTTTCATAGTGCTAATGCTTCTTTTTTGCAGGTGTTATTAGTTGGAGGAAGTGATTTCACTCTTATTGGAAAGCCACTTCTTAGGTAAGATATAAAATGTATTTCTAGTTTGAAACTAATTCATCTTCTAAGAAATTAAAAATTTGCACAGCATATAAACAAACTAAATTTTTGCTGAAAGACATGTCATGAATGTCTATTGAGGAATCATTGTGTTCTTGCTAGAAATATGGTTTTTATTTTAAGTACAGTGCTCTGCTCTTATCTGGTTTTCAGAGTTTTACACCTTTTTGACATTGTTTATGGTCTGATGTTATTTTGGATTTTTGGGTGTATGTAGTAAATATAGTAGAATGGACAGAGTTTGGTGCATTTTTCATTTTCTTGTGATCTTTTCGAGTGCTTTGATAAATCTGCCTAATATAGTCCTTATAATATTACTTCACACAGGGACACTGGGTATTTATAAACTACTGAACTAAACTAATAAACTATATAAACTATTTTGGGATCAGTAGCCTTTAGAAGGCTTATTCACAATAAACTAATAAAAAGTGACGGTAACAAAATTAGATTTCAAATAAATACTGTGCTTTCAGAGAGCCACCTAAAGGGACATGATGGTGGGAAAAAATAATATTAAAATATTTTTCAAAGCGTTCTTAAGTCCAAGTTAAAAATAACTTGTATGAACCGCTCCATTGTTAACGCACAGAACTGTCTGAAACTGCCAGCGGGACATTAAACAGGAAGTGTTTCTCCAAACTCACAAGACCGCAAAAGCTTTGAAAAATATTTTTTTCCTCCCATCCCATATTTTTTACACCACTATGTCCCGTTAGGGACTCTGTATGCCTTTGACACAAATATGGAGCAGCACAACTGTTTTCAACATTGATAATAATCAGAAATATTTCTTGAGCAGTAAATCAGCATATTAGAATGATTTCTGAAGCATCACGTGACACTGAAGACTGGAGTAATGATGCTTAAAATTCAGCTTTGCATCACATGAATAAATTACATTTTAAAATAAGTTACAATTAAACACATATAAAAAAAATCTGTATTTTTGATACAATAGATGCAGCCGTGTTGAGTACGAGAGACTTCAAAAACATTAACAAATCTAACCTAAACTTTTGAATGATTGTGAATTTCCTTTATTATTATCATGATAATCACTTTTATTCATTCATACTGTATGTTTTCTGTGGTAATTAACTGCATGATATATTCTCTCAGTAGAGCTTATGTTGTATTAAACCTGGAACAGGGTTTCTGCGGGTCTTAATTCGCCCTTCTACAAATTAAGTCCTTAAAAAGTTCTTAAATTATTGCAGAAACTCCTAAATTCATAAATGCATTTAATGTTGCATGCACTGCAAAAAAAAAAAAAAAAAAAATCATATCTTCCTCAGTATTTTTGTCCCGTTTTCCAAAAATAAGATATAAAGTCAGTGGGGTATGAACTTGTTTTCCCTTTCAATTAAGTAGATTTTGTCTGTGCCCCTTGGCAGATATTTGTTCTTGTTTTAATCATAAACTCACTTAATTTGGATCAATTTCACATAAGACTTCATTTCTTATATAATTTAGTATTTGCACTGGAAAGCGACAACATTTCTGAAAACATCAAGAACACATTTTTGGCAGCATTATCAGAAGTTAGTGTCTTTATTACTTTATTAAAAAAGTAATTGAGATCAGAAGTTTGAAATTGAGTTTTGCTGCTCTTCTGTTCCTGTCAAGAGATAGTTCACCCGAAAATGAAAATACTGTCATCAAAGTTGTTCCAAACCTGTATGAATTTCTTTCTACTGCTGAATAAAAAAATTATTTTTTGAAGAATGTCTGTAACCAAAGAGTTGATGGACCCCATTGACTTCCATGTTTCCCCCCATACTAATAGGGTCTTCAAAACATATTATGTGTTCAGCAGAAAAAAGAAATCCATACAGGTTTGACGGAGTGTCTGTTGCCTTCTGTCGATGCGATGTGAATCGGCCTTGGTCTTAAAAGGAACTTTAAAAGCTCCGAAGCTCTATGAAACCCTAAGGAATGTTGAAGTAATGATCACTTCAGATGTCTACACTTGTCACAGTCGACTTCTGCTCTTCTGGTCCTCAGCTGTGATTTAGTTCAAGTTCACGCTACAGTCATTGAGAAGACCGAGTCTTGGCCAATGGTTCACATGAGATTCTGGAAGAGGCATCGATTCCAAAAAAAGAGAAGTATGCAGGATTTTAAATGCAAAATATTCACTCAAATAGATTTTTAGTGTATTATTGTTTGATATTTTCACCAGTGCATTAATTGAACTTTTCTCTTCTTTATCAACAGTCATTATTCAACCGCAGACCGTGCTTAGGATCAACACCATTGATGTTTTACCAAGACTGTTTTAACCCGTTGCATTTGTAAAGTAAATTACATGCCATTTCTGTGAATCAGGAATGATTGTTCAGGTTTCACAATTAAGACCATGTAAATAAAGTTTTCAAATTTTGTTTTGAGCAGCGAGTTGCTGGTTGTATCTATTGTATGTCACAATAAATGTTTCCGTGTCATAGACGTGGCATCATGTACTGTGTGTATTTGATGATCACTAGTGATGGCAAAATTAAGCTTTCTGAAGGAGTGAACAGCTTAATTAAAATGTGGTAGATGCCACATTGAATTTTACACTATTCACTGGTGACTTTTTGTCATTTTTTAGTTTCACTATTGTTGTTAAATTTATTTTATTTTTGTTTTTCAATTATATTTGGGGGGTTCTTTTGCATTTTTATTTATTTTATTAAATTAAAACAATATTTTGTAAAGATTTTTGACATTTTTCTACTATGGATTTTTTTTATTTATTTAAATGTATTTATTAGTAGTTTTTTTTTTTTTTTTTTTTACAAAGATCTTTAACCCAGCATAAATATCAATTGACCATGTTTTTTCATTGTTGTTTAAAATATTAATAAAAAATTTAAATACGCAGTGTTTGAGCGCGTCAGGCTTGCACAGAAATAGACAGAATTACGGGATAATATTAACAGGTATATAAATATATATTTATTTATAATTTTATTTTTTTTCATTAAATATATTTAGAAGTAGTTTTATGGTATTTCTAAATAAACCCAGTGATATACAAGCGTGTCTTGTTGAACAAGTCTTTAATGAGCACATCATTCATACATAATTTTTTCAGATTAGTGTAAGGTGTTGCTTTTACAAGAAATACCTCAGGAGTTTTTTTTCAAATAAGGGCTTATGTGGACCTCAAACAGAAGGCAAGCTGAAACGTCTCTTTAACGTCAATTACCTTCACAGTCACTCAAGCTTTAACAGGAACCATGGCACTGTAGTTTATTATTATTTTGTTAACTTTTCTTTATTGAATGTATGAATGGATAAAAAAAAAGAATACTGAAACTCCTAAAACATTTTCTAAAACGGTTAATGACTTCTGTTAATATGATCAAATTGACATACTGTTCATGCCTTTTATTTGGTGACGATAACAAGTGGATAAGGACTCAAGGAGCCTTATTTTGCCATTTCAAATTATGAACCACTTTACAGGCAGATTTTAGGAAGGAATAATGCTGGTATACCTGTAAAATGCAGCAGACATCAAGACATCACAAACAGCTGAAATGGAAGGTTTGTTATACTTTTCAATGTATAGTCTGTATTTTGTGCTATGAAAAAATATTCTCTATTTAGCCTGAAGCAAACACAGAACCACAACGCAGCAGCAAAGAGCAGAGCAACGGATGAAACCAAACTAACAAAAATATGTTCTAAGAACCTTTTGCTAACGTTCACATTAAGCAATGAAAACGTTATTTCGGAACATTTTGAGTTTTAAAAACATTTTTTCTTGGTTATGCTAACGCTAAGGGAACATTCAATTATGCAAACGTGGGAACGTTACTTTTAAATGTTCTCTGCACCAGTAGTACCTTTTCAAATAAATGTTCGACGAAGGCCAATCTGAAAAGATTGTTTCATAATGTATAGCTAATGTTTTTATTTCGCCATTTTGAGAACATTATTAAAGACTAGATAACTTTGAACGGACATTCTATAAATGTTACTTACTGAAATAACGTTTGTTCATAACTTCGAGAGAACCTTGCCAGAACGTTAGCCAAAGTTCTGAGAACATTCCCTGTTAGCAGGGAAACACTCATCCAAAGCATTCAAAATTCTCAACATCCATGAAAATAATTTCAGACTTTTATACTGTAGCCTACAATTTTTCGTCGTCAGACGAATTCCAACACACAATCGTGTGCATCACCTTACAACCGTCAGTCAGTCTCTTTATCTTGTTTGGTCCTTTTTGTCAGATATATTAGTCTTTGTTTATATACACATATTATTATTTCTCATATATTCATTTAGCATAGCTGTTTTATACATTGCTGTGTAGCTCATTTTAATCAGAGATTATTCCAAGTAAATGTCTTCTGTTGGACACGAGACCTCCACAAACTCTTTGTAGTACAAGTGGAATGCTTTCCTGTGAATGAAGACAGAGAATATACTAGGACTATTAAACAAAATCGATTCGTAGGAGGAGGAACATAAAGACACACCCCTTGAACATAAAGCGAAGGAAAATAAAACTGACCTCACAGACTCTGCAAGGGGTTTAGTGGAGTTCTCAGACACAAACACGTGACAGGCGAATCTCTCATCAGCGGGATGTTTTGTAATAAAGCCAAAATACCTGCAGAGATACCGTACCATATGATAATAGACTGACTGGTAAATAAAACACACAATGCATTAACTAATGGTCAAAAGTTTGAGTTCGGTAAGATTTGTAGTTTTTTTTTTTTTTTTTTTTTAAAGAAACCTTTTATGCTCACCAAGGATTTGCATTAATTTGATCAAAAATACCGTACAAATAGTGAAATATCATTACAATTTAAAATAACTTTTTTCTATGTGAATATATTGTATAATGTAATTTATTCCTGTGATGCAAAGCTGAATTTTCAGCATCATGACTCCAGTCTTCAGTGTCACATGATCCTTCAGAAATCATTCTAATATGCTGATTTGCTCCTCAGGAAACATTTTAGATTATTTTCAATGATAAAAACAGTTTTTATTCAGGATTCTTTGATGAAAAGTAAGTTCATTAGAACAGCATTTATTTGAGATAGAAATCGTTTGTCACATTATAAATGTACTGTTGCTTTTAATCAGTTGAAGAAGAAAAACATTACGGACCCCAAACTTTTGAACGGTAGTATATGTAATATATCAATAAGAAAACCATCATCATTGTCAGTGAGAATTCAAAGGATGCAGTAAATGATTGACTTACTTCCTGTTCCTGGGATGGTAGCCACAGAATGAGACATTTTTCAAATGGAAAAAGTGACTGTATTGGCTACTCTGTGGAAACAAGTTTATAAAACGATTAAGTTGCATGTCCACAAACCTAACCCTACACACATGCTGAAATGCCTTCATGGTTCATGCCTTTTCACCAATGAATTCCCATGTCTTTTCTAACTACACGTGGATTATTTGTAAAATTCAAATCTGTTTTGTTCTGCTTTTCTAGCCGAGTCCATGGGTACTGTTACTGTGCATTTCCATAACTAAACAGTCAACATAAACAGTATTACTCTTCATCACTCACTTTCTTGAAAAATCTTGCAATTTAAAAAGCAGAATGTTAAGATGTTTACAAAAACGTGCTTAAAGGCGATCACAAAACAAATGTTCCTGCTTGTGGTTTTACCATGTCGAAATCATCCTGCACGGTGAGTTTCAGTCCCTTCACATTTATCTCCAGGATGCAGGATGACGGTGGATTGTAATGTACAGTCAGTCTCCTGTTCATCGCAATCTGGAATCAATCATGAAGAAGACATTTTAACAACTACGATGGACAAAAAACTTGCATTTTTCATGTTCCCCTAATAAAGAAGATTTAGGGGCCATTTACATGACACTGTTTCAACTGAAACATTCTAATTGGGGGCCTAAAAAATACAAACATTTGAAAACGGGTTTCAAAGTGCAAGTTTTAGAAAATGATACTGTTATCATCTCCTTGTAAACTATAGAAACTCGAACCTGTGGAAATGGTGACATCATGTGCATGCATATTACGTGTTCAGTCTACAGGCACGTAATGTTTCTTTATAATGTGACATCGTTGTCGTCCGTAGGTTAAAAAATGTAAAATAAAAACTTCCATTCTAAGTAGCCTATATCTTTGTTATGTAAACGTATGGCGCCTCCCATATCACACTTTGTCAAAAAAAAAATATTATAACTATCTTGTGGCCTCAAGACACTAACTCGTGGCCTCAAGATAGTACCTAGTGGCCTCAAGATACCTAGTGGCCTCAAGATAGTAACTCGTGGCCTCAAGATAGTACCTGGCCTCAAGATACTAACTCGTGGCCTCAAGGTATTAACTCGTGGCCTTAAGACACTAACTCGTGGCCTCAATATAGTACCTAGTGGCCTCAAAATACTAACTTGTGGCCTCAAGATACTAACTCGTGGCCTCAAGATAGTACCTAGTGGCCTCAAGATACTAACTCGTGGCCTCAAGATATTACCTAGTGGCCACAAGATACTAACTCGTGGCCTCAAGATACTAACTCATGGCCTCAAGATAGTACCTAGTGGCCTCAAGATACTAACTCGTGGCCTCAAGATAATATCTAGTGGCCACAAGATACTAACTCGTGGCCTCAAGATACTAACTCGTGGCCTCAAGATAGTACCTAGTGGCCTCAAGATACTAACTCGTGGCCTCAAGATACTAACTCGTGGCCTCAAGATAGTACCTAGTGGCCTCAAGATACTAACTCGTGGCCTCAAGATAATATCTAGTGGCCACAAGATACTAACTCGTGGCCTCAAGATAGTACCTAGTGGCCTCAAGATACTAACTCGTGGCCTCAAGATACTAACTCGTGGCCTCAAGATAGTACCTAGTGGCCTCAAGATACTAACTTGTGGCCCCAGATACTAACTTGTGGCCTCAGGATAGTAACTCGTGGCCTCAATATTTTTTTTTAATTTAATTTAATTTAAAAAAATTTTATACAGGCTTTAGCAGTTTGTGGCCCGAAAGCCTATTGTGATCTGCAGCTACTTAGGACTAAGAATATGGGATAAGTGACATTAAGCATCAAGAAATTACATTTTTTTTTGCTAAGGAGATGTTTGTTTAGACTCTTCTTGTAGGCCTGAACATTCTTTGAGGTGATTTCACCAACTACAGTAGAGTGGAGGCAGTTCCAAGTTGTTACACCTGAATGAAGAAAGCTCCTTCCCAAGCATTTGGTGTTAGACTTGGGGAGTTTTAGGGCGTGACTTGGTCGTGCTCTGTGAGTGGTTCGGCAAACGAGATCTGGTGCGGGTAGCAGAACTTTAAGATCCTCTGGACAGTTTTCAGAGTGCATTATGAAAAGCACAGTTGTTGCTGCAACAGTTCTACGATGGCTGAGCTGACTGATTGCATATTTCCTTAGGGCACTGTCCTCATCCTCCCCAATGATTTCCAGTGCCTTTTTCTGGACATTGTCAAGCTGCCTGCATTGGTCTGTGATGCATTCATCCAGGCAAGGCATGAGTACTCCAAGGTAGTCCTGACTTGTGCCTTGTAGACATTGGTCCTACCTTTGACATTAAGCTTGTTGGCCAACATGCGCAGAGCTCCAAGACACTGTCCAGCACGCTTGCCGATGTTTGACAGGTGATTGGTCCATAGCAACTTCTTATCAATACATAGTCCCAGAATATTCCTCTGCTCAAAGAGGTCAATTCATTTCTGATTGTCCCAAAGAACAGGTCCAGGTGGGATGGAGGCCTCTTTCTCGACAGAACCATAGCCTTGCATTTGCTGGGTTTGAACGTGACCTTCCAATTATCTGCCCACCTGTGAATATTCTCCAAATCTTTATTTAGGGATGCTGCCACATTGGGACCATTAAGTTTCGTTACTGGGGCATATATGGTGGAATCATCCGCATTTAGAAAAATGCTATTATTGCACTGTTCTACAACATTGTCAATGAAGTTTAACAATAATAGAGAATAATAGCGGGCCAAGGCCCGAGAATGAATCTCTGGGGAACTGAGGCGTTGATTGGTTTAGGTGATGAGGACTGACCAGAGAGCACGACCTGGATGGACCGACCTTCCAGGTAATTCTGTAGCTAGTGGCCTCAAGATAGTACCTAGTGGCTTCAAGATACTAACTCATGGCCTCAAGATAGTACCGGGTGGCCTCAAGATAGTACCTAGTGGCCTCAAAATACTAACTTGTAGCCTCAAGATAGTAACTCGTGGCCTCAAGATAGTAACTAGTGGCCTCAAGATACTAACTTGTGGCCTTATGATAGTACCACGTGACCTTAAGATAGTAACTTGTGGCCTCAAGATACTACCAAGTGGCCTCAAGATACTAACTGGTGGGCCCACGATAGTACCTAGTGGCCTCAAGATTGTAACTAGTGGCCTCAAGAAACTAACTTGTGGCCTTATGATAGTACCACGTTACCTTAAGATAGTAACTTGTGGCCTCAAGATACTACCAAGTGGCCTCAAGATACTAACTGGTGGCCCCACGATAGTACCTAGTGGCCTCAAGATTGTAACTAGTGGCCTCAAGAAACTAACTTGTGGCCTTATGATAGTACCACGTTACCTTAAGATACTAACTCGTGGCCCCAAGATAGTACCTAGTGGCCTCAAGATACTAACTCGTGGCCTCAAGATCTTGAGGCCACGAGTTACTATCTTGAGGCCACGAGATACTATCTTTAGGCCACAAGTTACTATCTTGAGGCCACAAAATAGTTATATTAAATTTTTTTGACAAAGTGGAACTAGGGGGGCTCCGTATAAACGTAACCTTCGAGGATGTTTTACCATATTTTCAATCTATCTAATTCCATCACTTCATTTGTTTTTCAGTGAGTGAAATTCTTAAACAAACCTTTTGCATAGCTGCACAGAGAACATCACTGCCTTTATGATTCAGTACTTGAACCGAGCCAAGAAATTTCATTGTATATTTTTCCATCCATTCAGTACTTTTTGCTAATGAGAAAAAGACAGAGATATAAAGACCATATAAACAGTTAGGATTGTTGAGAAATGAAAACACAGTGGATTCAAACACTACCGGTCAAAAGTTTGTAATAGAGACATGTTTTTAAAAGGCTGCATTTATTAAATAAAAATTAAATAAAACAATAATATTGTGAAATATCATTTCAATAACGAGAACTGTTTTCTATTGGGATTTCTAATTAAATAAATGTAATTTATTTTTGTGATGTAAAGCTTAATTTTCAGCATCATTACTCCAGTCTATAGTGTCACATGATCCTTGATTGTATTATGCTGATTTGTAGCTCAATAAACCTTTCTAATTATTATCAGTGTTGAAAAGTTGTGCTTTTTTGTTTTTTGGAAACTGTGAAACAAGATTTGTTTTTTAAAAGTGGCATTTTATAATGTCAAACCAAATTATTTCTGAACTTTCCATTCATCGAAGTATCCTAAAAAATGATCAGTTTCCACAAACATATTAAGCTGTTTTTTAAACTGTTTTCAAAATAGATGATGATGATAATATGAACCATTATTAATAACTGAGCATCAACTGAAGACTAGTGTAATGATGCTGAAAATTCAGCTTTGGATCACAGGAATATTGAAATATGTTAAAAGCAACAGTTCTTTTAAATCATAACAATAATATTTCACAATATTACTATTTTACTGTACTTCTGATCAAATAAATGCAACATTGGCTAGCAGATGAGACTTCAAAAAAAAAAAGAAGGAGAATATTTTTTTAATTACAAATGTTTGACTGATATTGTACCCTTTTATAAAGTTAAATCTTTTCATAGATGGGGAATGGAATCAGGACATGTCATCTTAATCTCCAACTCTTACCATTTAAAGTAATTTGTTGCTCTTTAAAGACCTCAGTGGCGTAATAGGCAGGAAAGATCCCCCGTTCTCCTGTTCTCATGTTGTATCCCTCATACCAGTAATCCTCATCCTGCACCTCCACCAGCAGAGGGTCATTGACCTCCAGCTCCAGCTCATCGTCGTGACGAGGGACAAATCTGGGAAAACACATCCATGAGGAGAAATCTTTCGTCAGTTCTTTGATGGTGAGATGTGTGTCTTGTTTGAGTCCCATTGACTTACTGATATAATTAACTAAATACTAATCCTGTTTGCATATTTGACTTTATATGCTTAGGGTGTAGTGCAAATATGTATTATTTCTAGATATTTATTTTGTCCTATCAACCAATCTGCATGTCCCCACTGACACATTTGGGTTGCAAGGAATCATTATTGAATAATTTCCCCATTTACATGTTTAAAAAATAATGGTTTTATCTTTTTAAAATCTAATTTAAGAGTTACAAACATATTTTCCTCCAATATACAAATTTGAAAATAAATATAGAATTTGATTTTTGTTCTGTTTTGTATATGAACTAATAACAGACTGATGGGGCTGAAATAATGCACATGAAACATAACAAACTGCTCATACTTTCCAAAGCTTTATTCAATTCCTATTTAGGAATTCTCATTCTTAAAAATGTAGTTCATTTCCTATTCAGATTATATATTTTGAAAAAACTCCTGAAAATGATGAGTCACAAATGAAGCCATTTTCTGAGAATGACCCAGTATCCACTGACCATGCGTTCATTCGGGACTTTGATAGCATGATCATCTAAAAATACAAATACATTGAACAGTTACACGTGTGTGCAATTTTTGATAGTGGAGTGCCAATCTGTTTCACCTGTAGACGGATCTGTGTGTCTGGTCCCTCTCCTCTCCATTAATCATGCAGGAAAACAAGCCAAAAGACTCTGTACCTAAAGACATAAGCAAAACGCCTATGATACAAACCCTTTCACAAAATCAATACAGTACATTCTTATGTTCGTACTGGTCTGTTCTTAAACACGTTTTCAGTTCCTTCCTATAGACCATTTTGCAAGATGTAAACAACACTGGTCCAGAAGCACTTCCTGTTTCAGTTTTTTAACACTACATAAAAGCTGGGATAAAATACAACCAACAGAACATATAAAACTGAATCAAAAAGTTAAACAAACATCTTTAAGATTTTTTCTTTACATGTGAAATAAAGAAAACAGTTACAAACTGAAACAGGAAGTGTTTCTGGACCAGTCTTGTTTACAGCTTGCAAAATGGTCTATATAATGTAAGTTGAGTTTCCGTGGGATTAATTTAGTCTCAAAATGATTACATTATTATCCATGAACTTAATAAATGTTGCAGATATGTTTTACTATCCACAACCAAATACCTTTCAACTTGCGTGTGCAAAATTTAGAATTAAATGAATGTGTAGCAAGTTTAATACCTGAGCACTAATAATAGGACCAACATGGAGTAATGAAGTCTACTGTTAATTTGTTACAAACATGAACAAACATTAACATCATCATTCAATCAGCAAAAGATGCAGACAACTTAGTTAGATGTACGTAGATAAGAAAAGAGTTTTTTGTTATTTATTTTATTTATCTAGATTTGATTTAAACACTACATGGTCAAAAGTTTGGAATAATTAAGATTTTTTTGTTTCTGAAAGAAGTATAATATTAAGGAATATTATTACCATTTAAAATAACTGTCTTCTATTTGCATATATTTATTTTAAAAAAAAAACATTCCTGTGATGTAAAGTTAAATATTCTGCAACATTACTCTTTTTCATTACTTTTGGTCCTATTATTAAACCTATTATTAGTGCTCAGGTATTAATAATGGGTTCCCATTATTATAATTTTTTTTTTTTTTTTTTTTGCTTAACATGTTTGTGGAAACCATGATTTATTTTTTTTCAGGAATCTTTGATTTATTTAAACGCATTTTAATGTGATCATCCTAATTATTCAAAAATGTGTACCAATAGTGTAACAAATGAGAAAAGCGATAAAAGCATACCACTTACTGGAGGATCGAGAGCAGCCATTCATGAAAACATTAACAAATTTTCGAGAAAATGGCATGTCGGCCTCAGGGGTAGAGTCCTCTGACAGACACATTGAGGCTTTGATCCCATTTTGTTTTCTTCCTTTGTCTTCATTCTCATCCTCCTCGTACTCTTTCTCAAGAGCCGACTCATATGGAGAGGAAACGCAGTTATCATAGATGGTGGCCGAATCACTGTCATCGCTGTAACCGCGATAACACTCTCTTAAACTGACGAGTTCCAGCTGATCGTGCTCATCCACGACCAGTGTGTATTTGACCGAATCGTACGAAAGTCCACTTGCGTCTGAGTTGCTCATGGAAGATTTCAGCGCTCCCGACAAGCTCTCGCGATGGGCATGATCCTCGCCAGCGCCGCAGTCTCTATAACACAGATCTTCCGCTCCAGTTACTTCTTCACCGCTACTGTCAGCGGCCAGAGCGTCCACACAAGAAAAATAGGAAGGGGGTTGCAGATCCTGCTCATGGTATGGAGGGGGGGCTTCATTGTCAGAGCTGACTGCGGTGACCTGCGCCTTCTCGTTCTGCAGAGCCCCTGTGCAACGCTGTATTGGTGTCAGATAGATCTCCTCTGTAGGCTCGAGTCGGACGTCCGTATGATAACGGATCTTCTCGCAGTGATCCAGTTCTCTGTGTACATCTCTGGCTTTACATGGGACAGGTAGTACAGCAGAAGGAGCAGGAGCTTGAGTGTGTTTGGGCTTGTCAGTCGAGGTGCCACAGTCTTTCCGACCGCTGCCTGGTTGGTGCTTCTCCTCATCGCTTAGACACGTGTGCTCACGAGATGGTGTCAGTTCACCTGGTTGCAGCAGGATCAAGCACAAAAAAAGTGAATTGATAGATTATCAACAGAAGCAATGCTATGTAAGCTTGCTTCTGCCACTGTATAAAACAAATAAAAAAGGTAATTGTGAGAATTAATCTCACAATTCAGACTTTTCAGTTTTCTATGAATTTGTTTTGTGGTGAAAACAAGGGCAACAACAAGAATTCAAAAACAACAGAATTCAGAGATATAAACTCAGAATTCCCAGAAAAAAAAGTGAAATTTGCGAGATGTGAACTTGCAATTACGTATTTATAGGTGGAAATTGTGATATAAACTTACAATTGTTATTTAATCCAAGGCAGAAACAAGCTTCCATATATTGCATTCACACACACACACACACACACAAATATATGACAGTGCTCTTTATTTAGTATAAATATAATATGAGGTCAGTGATAAAAGTGTAGGCTACTAACATTCTGATGGATGGCTTGTTTTGTTCTTGAAATATCGAACCATCGAAAGATGGACCAACAAGTTAGGTATGCCTGTGAGACCCATTGTTTGACGAGACTGCATATGCAAACATGTTTTTGTAGATGACTAGACTAAATCAAATTCACATGACCATGGTTGGCAGCAAAACACTGATGCCCTTTTGTCACTGAGACAACAGAGCTAGGGAAGTTTGGCAGAAAATGAGCTAGCTCGTAATCGGTCAAATTACTTACAAAATTGGCTTATTACTAAAATTATATATTTTAAAATATACTTAAGTGATAACTAAATAAAATGTTTTCAATACTGTTAAAGGAGTAGTTCACTTAAAAAAAAAACTTTTGCAGATAATTTACTCAGCCCCATGTCATCGTGTCATTTGGTTGATTCAACGAACGTAATGAACGAATTGATTCGGAAAAAGATTTGTTCATTTTGATGAACAAGTTCGAACAGGAGAGTCATGAACGCGCATCACAGAACAGAGCAAGGCGAACATTTGAGCTTATAAAACTTAAACTTTGTATTTTTTTTTTTAAATGAGCAATAGTTTCACTTGATAAGACCCTTATTCATCGTCTGGAGTCATTTAAAGCCCTTTCAACAGTTTGCAGAAACTGTCTTTTGGACCTTTGGTTCCCATTGAAGTTCATTATATGGAGAAAAATCCTGAAATGTTTTCATCAAAAACTTAAAAAAAAAAAAAAAAAAGTGAACTAGTCCTTTAATACCAACTAAATTAAAATGTATTACTGTTTTTTTTTTATATAATGCAGCTGAACCTTAAAGTGTTTTATTTTACTCACTTAAATGTAATTTCATAATTGACATTTCTATTGAAACTTGTGTCATGTACTTAAATATATTTGTACTTAGACATTTGTAGTGATGAAGTTGCAATGTAGTATTTTTAAAATATATTAACTATCAAATAATGTTAATCAAAATAAATCAAATAACACACTACAGTTAAAATTATAATCAGGTACTTTACATGTGCTTTTATATGTTAGTCAACACATCAAAATAAGTGGTCTTTTAAAATCTGCTATATAGTAGGGAAGTATGTGATTTCGGATGCAGCCTCATTTTAAGTGCAGAACATTTTTGTCACTGTAATGATGTCATGCCTACTTCCCAACTAAGACTTAATGAGTGCTCACACTGTAAAGATCTCTGCACTCACCTGTTTTAAGCGGCGGCAAGGTCTGAGAGATTTTCTGCTGCCAGCTGTACTTCTTCGCAAATGAGTTGTTGTTTAAAGTGTCCTGTTGATGAGATGCAACAGACAAGCTAAAGCATACGTTCATAGTGGTCTTGCAATATAGTGTATGTAAACTGTTCATAGCATGCATATATTTTTCTTTAACCAGATGCACTGGGTACTGTACCCTGAACACTCAAAACTAAATAAAACAAATGAATGAAATTAAATATTACAGGAGTGTTCTGTTAATGTGTTGCATTTAAAACCAAGTCTTTTTGATGGACTCCAAAAGACCTCCCTCTTTTTCACACTCTCAATACCTCTTACAATTCTTACAATAATGCCTACTCTTTTTGTCCATTCGGACCCATATTAACATTCCCCACACAGGCCATGGCATGAGCTTACATCATTTTTCCACCTTTAATAAAAGCAGAGGTTTAAAATAACAGATTACAATACACTAAAGGTTTTATTTTTTTTTGCAGCAAAACCATCCAAGAACCATTTAGGCTCCTCAAAAAAACACTTTAAAAAATAGTTTAAAAAAGTAGTGTTCCACGGTATACCGATCCTAAAGTAGTGTCATGACACTAGAACGTCAAAATAGTGACAATCTCACTAGTTTTAAAATGGTACCGTAATGTTGTATGAGCTGAGGTTACTCTATTTAAATCGCTCGTTCACTTCTAGAATGGCTGTAATGGTTTATTTCGAATTATTTTTGCGATGTTGAATGCAATTAACTCCAATTATTACAGCATTTGCACTCAGTTCCTTATAGTGTAATTTTAACATTATCAATGAATTCATATGCTATAATATACTGTCCTCCAGTTAAGAGTCTGTAAGAGTCAAGATATCAATATATGGGGGCAAAATATGCTTTTTTATATATTTATAACATATAGCACACGTATGTCTGATGTCTGTTCATCTAAAGCATCTGCTGTTTACATCTGATAGACGTCTTTAAGATGTCAGTTGTGCATACATTCTAAATCATAAGCATGTTAAAGTCATTTTCAAAAATGTCTATTTGACTTCTGACAGGAAACGTCCTATAGACGTATTGCGGATGAGGAAACACTCTTAAAAAATACGTCTTTCAGATGTAAACACGCACATCAAATAGACGTCTCCGTGATGTACGTGTGCTATTTGACAATATGACAGAGTGCTGCTTCCCCAATATCAACACGATTGCAAATGTGATTTTACACAACAGTTCAATAAGCAAAAAATGTTAATATTAAATGACAGTTTAGACACAACATTGTCAATATTGTTGTTTTCGCTTATTTCGCCAATGAATCATTTGTCATTTGTTCCTGAATGAATCAGCCATTTTGAATCAAGAGTTTGAATGAGTGATTCAGTGACTCAATCATTAGGACTTGCTGCCACCTACTAGTTTCCCATTTAAAAGTAGGCCCTTTTTCAAACATATTATGCCCAATATTGATATTTCTAAATCCAGAATTTTATATTTAAAACATTAATCTCATTAAACATTATTTATGCAATAGTAATTGCAGTATAGATGCATTATCACCAACTCTGAGCAGTCAACGGTTAGTATAAATCTATCAACTGTAAATGTACCTTCAGATGCAGCTTCTATGCCACTTCTGCAGTGTTAAAATGGATTTTGTTTACACTGATTTCATTTGATTGGTAACAGTCAGTTAATCATTCCCAGTAATAAAGTATTCAGAGGAAAATCTAGTCTAGTATTTTTCATTTACATCAATGTTTATGAAAATTTGCTCCATTTTGTAGAGCTTAACATAATATTGCACGTTATAGTGATAATACTTGGGGTGTGGTATCATGACAATCCTACTATAGATCATTTCACAAGATGTAAACAACACTGGTCCAGAAGCACTTCCTGTTTCAGTTTGTAACTGTTTTCTTTATTTCACATGTAAAGAAACATCTTAAAGATGTTCGTTTAACTTTTTGATTCAGTTTTAAATGGTCGGTTGGTTGTATTTTATCCCAGCTTTTATGTAGTGTTAAAAAAACTGAATCAGGAAGTGCTTCTGGACCAGTGTTGTTTACATCTTGTGAAATGGTCTATAAAGACAATACACCTTATTCAGAGCAGCGCCATGACAGGTATGAAAGTGAGGCTGTGAGGGATAGACTTACCGTGTTTCCAATGGCATCCGCTGTAAAAAGCTGAATAAAACTGCTAGATACTTACAATTTTCCACAGCTTACATTGTCGGGAGTTTTTTGTCAACTGAAATTTCTTGGAAAGATATTTTTTCAGTGTTTCATGAGCAGAACAATCCGAAAACACATTAAATAACAGTACAGCCCATTGAAGAGATGCATGACTATCCCTCACAGCCTCGCTTTCATTCTCATTAAAAATCAAAGATGGCGCTGCCGTGAATAAGGCGTATTTGGTGGAATGAAAAGCTTCCATGGATGTTAAAGGCTCTTCATGGGAACCATCAAAGCCAATTAAGAACTTTGTTTAAGAGGGTAATTAAGTAGCTTTTCTCAGGAGTTATACTTTATTTAGTATTTATTTTAAATGCTGTACTTTTACTTTGCCATTTTTGCTCTAAATGTGTTCACTACTTATTTTCCTAAAAAAAAAAAAAAATAACCAACTGGTTCTGACGTAAACAAAATAAGGCAAACACTGTTTCTCTTTCAGCATTCCTGCTGGTGTTCTGGTGAAAGCGCTCACTCAGTGTTTATTCAAACAGATAATAACAAAGGAACGTCATCAACCCCTCTAAATAACAATGAAGTGGTAATACTTTGTTCAATGGGGGCCAAGCACTAACAAGCTCAAACACATGACTGTGTTCTATAGAAAGAGGACAATTATGGAAAAACAAGCCCAAAGTTGTGTTGTGTTTTCATGTTTTATGGGGACTTTGCATAGACACGATTTTTATACTGTATAAACGGTATATTCCATCCTCTAACACTAAATCTACCCCTAAACATGAACAGAGAAAAGAAAACAAGAACAAGAATATAGGATAATGCCAATGATACGTTGTCCCCATAATGTAGGGTTTACCAAGACACATACATGTTTTAAAATTGAGTTCTGATCAACAGTGAACAAATCCTTGGTAAATTCTGCTAAATGTCATGATGATCAGACACAGAGGTCCAGTTTTAAATGAACTACAACTGATTAATTACTAAAAGCCAAGTTCATTTAGATTCAAATATGAAAAAAAATGTGATGATGACAGAGCAGATGCTTTAAATTAGTCAATCCATTTACACACACCTTTGACCAATTTGTGCTGACCTGTTGCAAGATTGATAGGCGAGCACTATTACATTGAGTGTAATAAGTCAATCATATCGCAATGCACTGAGGCATCACCTCCTCTCACTTGACTTTTTTAAAGTGTATTATCACACCACACCACGCTCTACTAGCTCAATTTGCTGTAGTAGAAGATGATGAGCTCAAAAGAGATCCTGCCTCCCTCTGAAACTTTATCAACTGGCGTTGCTATTGGATGCTATCATTTTAAATTATTTTCTTTTCTTAAATTGTTTAGGAGGCACTGTTTCCATCGCCTCGTCAAAGAAAATGCCCCTGCAGTGTATATAGAGTCATATCTTTACATACTGTTTATTACCTGAGTCCTGGGCACCTGTGGGAATAAGTTGAGAGTGGTTGGTCTTTTTGGACGGTAGGTATCCATGGTGAAAGGAACGGCAGAATCCATAGATGCTTTGGTGTCGTATCGACAAGCCACTCTTTGGCTCCTATCGACAGCATCAGTAAGATGTAAAGGATGTGTCTCTGCCTGGATCTGACCCACTGCGCCTGCCTCCACCTTGTCCAAGCCACTATTGGGTGCTTGAATCACATGGTCCTGCTGGGATTGGAAAGATCGACAGTCAATCAGAGAAGAGAGTGAATGAAAAAGCAAGAGGGGAGATGAGGGCCACTGACCCAACCATTAGAGCAAGCAATGACATCAGACTTTGGCATTTTTGGTGCCTACTAAGCCACGAGAACAAGAGACAGGGGGAGGGGTTTCGGACAAAGACTATTCATGTTGGTGTTTACTCACTGCATTACAATGAGACACATGCTTTCAGCTCCAGCTATATGCAAAAGTTTGCAAGATTTGTACAGATTTTGATTTAGAGATACTATTACTTATTAAGTAAGTGTTAATATTAAAAAAAATACGTGGAGTAAAAATGTGAAAAGTGTACATTCAACATACATTCAAGACATAATAATATACAGCTTTTATCAGGGTCCCACTTTATATGTCTTAAACTACTACGTACTAACATTTAAATTAATAATTTGATACAATGCACTTATTATGTTCATATGTTTTTACAACGCACTTGTATTAAAAAAATAATAATAATACCTGCATGTTGTCACGTTTGTTATTGTTTAATTTTTCCAGTTAATTTTTTCTTGACTTTTATTTTGGAATTTCATACTTTCTGTTTTTGTCATGTGATTCCCTGTTCCCATTCAGTCATGGTCGACGTTATGTCGATACTGATATATTGGGGCCTCACTTAAGAGCCCAATCACCTTTGAGTGGTAACATAACGAGCCAATGGAAACTGGCCTGTGAGATTTGCATACTGATTCACTCATACCCAGACATAAGGGTATTTAAGGCCAGCTCGGTCATTTTTGCTTCACAGCTGAACGTTTTACAGTGATTGCTCTCTTCCAATATCCTATCTTGACAAAGAGCTTGTTTCCTGATTGGAAGAAATGAATTTCCAATCTAAAAGAGCTTGTTCAAAAGGAGATCTCACTGCTGTTTTGAGGGCGCATCCAGCGGTGTTGCGCCATCTTTAGAGCTTTTGCACGGTAAAGTGCAGCAATTCTTTTTAAAGATGTCTTTCCATCTGTGTGTTTCTGCATGCAGTTGTTTCCTGGCCTCAAGTGGAACTCTCCACCTTGTCTGGAGCACTTGCAGTTGGATGATGGGTTCAGCACATGGTTCACATCCACGTTCCGGACCAGTGTCTTTCTTTCTGGAGATGCATGGAGGATCCATGGAAGGCATGGAAGGCACCTTTTACTGCCTGAAACCGCTCTGCAGCTTCATCCTTTCTCACTACCCTCCACAGGTGGAGCATGCAATTGTGGTGCATTTATGTCCCCAAAGTGCTGCCACCTGCCAGAATCACACAGCCTCCTGTCCAGGGTCTGTAAGATGACATCAACCCTGACTGCTAAGGCTTACAGTGCTGCTGGGAGGCCGCCCTCCGCCTTGCATGCCATGGCCATCCTGTAGGTCCTTCAGGCAAAAGCTTTCAAAAAGCTGCATAAGGGTAGTTCTGAGCCAGGGTTGATGCAGGAACTGCACACGACGATTGGCCTCGCATTCTAGGCAACGAAAGCCAAAGCCCGGGCCCTCGACCAGACGATGTCCACCTTGGTGATCATGGAGCACCATCTCTGGCTGTACCTGTCATTGATGAAAGATGCCAACAAAGTTTGCAATCTTGAGGCCCCCATCTCCCAGGCTGGCCTCTTTGTTGAGACTGTTGAGAACTTTGCCCAATAATTCTCAGCAGGCAAGATACAGAGTGAGGCAATAAAGCATATCCTGCCCCCGCATTATGCCACTGCCACCAGTCAACCAAGGGCTGGTCCACCGTCTGCTCATCACAGAGGGCATTTCCCTGTGGTGTCTACAGCAGTTTTAGGCGCGACCGGAGACGTGGAGGTTTTGCGTTGACTATAGGCACCTTAATGAGGTCACCAGGAAGGATTCATACCCCGTCCATTGTGTTGATGAGTCACTGGACCTTGTAACCGGGTCGTCATGGTTCACTTCACTGGAACTGCGCTCTGGTTATTGGCAGGTACCACTTGCTCCTGGTCCCAAAACTGCTTTTGTATGAGTAGGGGGCTATGGCAGTTGAGGGTGCTCTGCTTTGGCCTCTGCAATGCACCAGCCACTTTTGCCAGGTTAATGGACAGGATGTTATTGGGTATGGCAGGTCATTTCAGACCTTTTCGGAGCCCCTCAGGTGTGTTCTGGTTTCTAGTCTAGCTTGAAGCTGCACCCGGAGAAATATCATTTGTTTAGGAGGGATGTGACGTTTTTGGGGCACAAGCTGGGAGGCCAAGGGATTGGCCCGATGGAAGAGAAGGTGCAGACGGTAAGCAACTGGCCCACTTCTACAACCTCACAGCAGCTGAAAAGTTTTTTGGGGTTGGCCTCATATTACAGGAGGTTTATGCATGTTTTTTCAAGCATCACAGACCCACTTTTCTGCCTGCTGAAGAAGGATAAGTCCTTCGCTTGGACTGAGGAGTGTCAAAACTCTTTTGCCGCCCTGAAACAGGCTCTGGTCACAGCCCATGTATTGTTCCCCCCTGACCTGGCACTGCCCTTTATTCTGGACACAGCGCGAGTAATGTGGGTATGAGGGTTATTCTCTCTCAGGTAGGGGTTAGTGGAAAGCGAGTTGTGGCCTACTACAGTAAAGAGTTCAACAAGGCTGAATCCCGATACTGTGTCACCAGACGGGAAATTGTTGTGTTGCTTTTTGGAGTCTGACACATTAAGAATTACCTGTGCGGGCTGTTATCAGGGCTGCCCATGTGACAGTGGGGTCTTTACACTTTGGGGTTCCAAAAACACTCAAACGTGTCAGACAGCGTTTTTACTGGGGGCTTGTGAAGAGAGATGGAGGATTGTTGTCGGTGGTGTGATGGTTACACAGCCCACAAGGGCCCACCTGGCTAGTCCCTCGCTCCCCTGATTGGGGGTGGATGTAACGGCTCCTTTTCCATGTTCGGAGAAGGGTGACAGGTTTTGTGCTGATGGCTAAGGATTATTTCACTAAATGGCCAGAAGCTTACGTACTGCCTGACCAAGAAACCGAGACGTGGTGAACATGCTGGTTGATGGCATGTTCAGCCATGTCAAATTCGGTGTTGCTGAATCCATAAACAGCGATCAAGGCCGGAATTTTGAGTCACGTGTCTTCTTATTAGGGATTCACATAACAACAGGATTTAACAGGATGTTGGCAGAACAGCTGGCCATTGTGTTGAGCGAGATTGGGATACGCAATTGCCATTTAACTTAATGCGTGCTGATCAGCTGTGCAAGACTCAACCTTTTGCACACCCGCTCTTTTGTTGTTGGGGCGGGAGATCAGAACACCTGGGAAAATAGCTTTCGGGAGGCCACCTGATGCGCCTGCTATGACCCCGGCCATGCTAGAAAACTTCATGACTCATTGGAAGCCACTCATAATTTTGCAAGGAAGCAGTTGTTAAAAGCGGGGATCCGGCAGAAGAGAAATAATGACCTGAAAGCAAAAGGGCGGTTGTAGCAAGGTTCAGGGAAGAAGGAGGCAGGAACCAGATAACAATCAAAAAATAAAACTTCATTTGAATGAAATAAACAAACAAAATACCTGCCAGCAGTCCCTCAGGGAACTGCTGGCTACCCAAAATAAAACACAACTACCGGCCAGCAGCCTCACGCGGACTACTGCCTTACCAAGATAAATTATAAAACACAAACAAAAGTAGGCCTGTTCCTCTTTCGATCATCCACTCCGTCGCTCCCCCTTTATGCCTCTGCTCCTCCGTGAGAGATGAGAGACCGGTGTGCTTCACAGGTGCTGCTCATTAGCAATCGCACCACCGGCCTCGCGACTTTCTCTCATGTCCCTCGGCCGTCCTGCTCACCACAGCGGTATTACACAGCAGTAGAGCTGGTGTGGGTTTACAGCCATTTAGAGAAAGAAGGTCAGTAAATTGGACTCCAAATGGGTTGGGCCATGCAGTGTTTTGGAGAGAATCTGAGAAGTTGTTTACCGAGTGCAGTTGCCTCCGAGCGGTAGGAAGGTGGCCGTGCACCGAGACAGATTGGCACCTTATAGAGGAAGCGTCTCTACCGCCCCAGCACCGGCCTCCTCTCCAGTTGTGCCTACCCCGAAGGGTGGACCAGGACCCCTGTCAAGAACTTCCAGTCTTCTGGCAGACCCACATGCAGCCTGAACATGAGATGGTTCAGGGACTTTGTTTGTTCCCTCGAGGTCAAGGAACTTTGTGAAGGGGGAGCAGTGTAAAGACTGTTTATGTTCAATATCAGGTGGTTATGTGGGGCTTTAGGCGTGGGCTGTTCTTCTGAAGAAAGAGGCTCCGTGAGTGTGTGAGGCAAGAGCATCGGTCACACAAGTGAGTCTATTTTTCTCCGATTGCTGCAATATTTAAACACTGGCTTCCTTTCTCTGTGGTGCCTGACTCTGAAAAAATATTTTTTTAAAAACTGGATGTGTCAGCAAGTACGACAACTGAAGCTTGAAAAAAGTGAAAATTCTAACAGACATAAACCTGGCAGTGATCACTGCCACCTACAAGTCTAATAATCTGGTGCACTTGACATCAGTAAAAACTCCAAAAAGAACAAGATATTGCACTAGTCAAAATCAAAACAAAAGTACACAAAGGCTATATGCATTGTAATTCCCAGTGGTTGTTTGAAATTGTTCTGTAATATTTCACACGTTAGGCAAGACCTGTTCTCACCTTGATGTCAGAGTTGTGTCGCCTGGCCCTGAATTCAAATTCATCAGTCATTTCTGTGATTTCAGACAGGTCCTCATCTTCAAATTCATCCAACCCTATGTCATGGGTCAGCCTATAGAAAGAACCACCAAAAGTATTAGTCAGGGGCACTAGTAGGCAGTTTGTTTCATTGTTTTTAAATGTACTGCACAATATATCCTTGTGAAAGAGAAGTGTGCTTAATTGTATTGAATAGCACTTGTAGTGTACTTGAAATCATAAAAGTCTATTAAAAAACTTCTTGCATATAATATAGGCCACTTAAGTGTACTTAAAGAGAGTGCACTTTCATAATTGTTTCTTAACACACTTGAGTGCACTTTTTAAAAGTGTAAATTATGTCAAATTAAAAAGTTTTACTTCAAATTTGAAATCTTTATTTTAAATGTACTAAATGGCAGCTTCATCTTTACAAATGTGTAATTTCAAATATATTTAAATGCATGACATACAAGTTTCAAAAGAAATGACAAAGTACATTTTAGTTAAATGATTTTCAGTACATTCAGGTACTTGCATGCAGAAACTATGCAAAAGTGGCAACCCTCCAGGTGCAATTAGTGTCATTTTCATTCACTCCTTCAAGTGGACTATAGTTGTGGTATAGAGACTAGTGATTAGGGTATAGGGGGCGATTTTCGAACACAGCCTCTGTTTTCAAGTCCTCCCTCAACTGCAAGCTGCAAATCTCGCTGAGCCAATCCAGCCGCAAGCCAAAGTCGAACACATCTTTTAATTAGCTAGTCCATGTGTTTATTTGGGGTTTGAACAAAACTCTGCAAGAAAGACGCCCCTAAAGCACAGGACCTGATGCATTTGTGCCACTCACACCAGCCTAAAGATGACCGAATCGGATTACCAAAAACGCTGTAATAGCGGACAAAGGTGCTTCAGCTAAGGGTTCAAGTTCAACTATGCGTTAAGGGTTGATTTTTTTATATATTTTTTTATAAATTTGCAAAGTGATTACACATCTGTTTTTTTGCTTTGTCATGGTAGGATTTGGATTGTAGTTGATGTGCAAAAATAAATAATCTTAAGCATTTTAGCATAAGGTTGTAGTGTGGCAAAAAGGGGGGTATATATCACGAACAGAGACGTGGCTCACGTCATAGGTCACATGACAATGTCACCATGGTGGATATATGCTTGCACTGTATACTACACATTCATACTTTAATAACAACTGTTCATCAAACATAGTAACAACGTGATTGCAAAAGCAGCTTGTGTCTCTTTGTGCAATGAAAGAGTTCATGCTGTGCACATGCACATTTTTAGGCCCTTTCAAAATAAAAGTATTTTGTCAAGGCATCAGTCTGACACTGGAATAAATAAAACCCGCATTGCAAAGTGGACTATTTAAAAAAATAAATAAAACAGCAGGTGAAGATAATAGTATAATGCCCTTACACATTTATATAATTTTCAATCTATGAATAAAAAAAATGGCAAAGGTCAAAAATCCCATTTCAATACTGTAAAAAATATTGCATGAAAAATAATAGAAGATCCCTGACATAATGAATGTTGCTATGCAACAAAAATAACAATCTATTATGTGTGCTGCATCTGCTGCTCATCAAAACACATGTAGCCTACTAACAAATCAGTATTTCTTCCTAGCACAACACATTTTGCATAGGCTATTATAGAGAAAAATAAGCTCATACCATTTCTCCCATTGCTCCTCCAGGGTTCTCAAGTCTCACGCATTGGCCGTGAGACACACGCATTTCGACCGGTTCACACGCTCACACGCCACACTGTGTATTTCTCACGCTGAAAAGGCAATGCCAACCAAGTTGTCCTGGCTGAAAGCTTTCTAACGTTGAATACGAGGCGCAGGCAAACAAGTTTCCTGCCGCCAGCGCGTATCTCCGCCAGATTGCGTTCGTTACTAGGCAACATGCGCGCTGCGTGCACCACTGATCTATACATAGGTGCGTTCCATTCGACCGTAAGTGGACTGCGAAGTGGACTTCACAGGGTATTTCGCCATCTTAAGTGAGATTCCAATTCGAACGAAACGAACTGGTTCAGTTCGAACTGCAAACGGCATAGGGAATAAGGGAACATCAATACATCACTTCACAGGAAGTCAGTGAAGTCAACTTCAACTGATATAGACGAATCCGAAGAGCGTTCTTGTGTAGGCTGCCATCTTGTGGCGACGCCATTACTGAGCTGTTACACCGGCATAGACATATGCACCGGCATGTAAACAAACCTCGGAGATAAGGTGATAACGCACCCTTGATGACAGCTACAGCCAGGCAGACTTGTTGGGTTGATGATGTTAGACATTGGCCTCCAGTCACAGATGAAGGTACAAACGATCTTACAGATTATTTATGAAAATAGCTTGGCAAGCTAGCTAGGCTAACGTTTGCTACAGAGGAAACTAAAAAAAGATCTGTCCATTTGGCAACAATAAATAAATAAATGAAATCGAATAAACAATTTCATGTTTTTCATTTGTGTCCATTATTTATCTCATTTTTACATTGCAACGGGCAAGGTTAAGGTAACGTTACAGCTAGAAAGTATACATAATATCGACCAACTACTGTTTTTAAACCATGGAAAGAGGTCAATATAACAGCGGGAGAACAATTATGTCACATAACGTTACATTCAGCTCAGGAAAGCCATTTAATGACCATAGCATGTAAATTGAATAGAAAAAAAAACAAGAGAGGAGATTTTGCTGATCACTATATCACACATTTATTATATTTTTTTACTTATGTCATTAAATAATTGTTATTATACGCGAATGTCCGCGTCTTGTACTCGCCCAGGAAATCTGTGTAAACCGTACGGCTCCAGACAGGGGCAGTCGACCCGGGGTATTCACAATGTTTTCTCTTCAAAATTGAAATTTTACTGCCACCATTGAAACAATTTATAACGGAAACTGTTTACCCACTCGACATTATACAAGGGCTAACGTTGTAACGTTAGTGACAGTCGTAAATCGCGAGCTGTTTATTCCAGTGGACGCAAGTTGCAACTAAAACAATAGAAGGCAATGGCGCAACGCTACCCAGCAACAGCTCAGTAATGGCGCCCGCTTACTTCCGGTAGTTTCGCCGGATTCGTCTATACCGTGTTCAGGGAGTAGGGAGCAGTGAACACTGCGTAGGGACCCTGTCGAATGGAACGCACCTCATGACATGTCATTCAGTAGCGCGAACACACGGAAATGGACGGAACATCCTCGGCCACCGTACGTTCGTTACTAGGTAACCAACAACATCGCGCGAACACATGTGTCGTGATGGAGAAGAGGGTAAATTGGAAGAAGCTCGTCTAACATTTTTGGGCTAGAACATTTAATATGTAGCCCATCGTACATTATTATTTATGCAGTCAAAAGCTCTACAACTACTTTGCAACCAGGCTCAGTTTGGCTATCTTACGTTATCTGAAACTAAGAGAAATGTTAGTGGGTATGGAAAGGAATGAAGATTTACTCATTTTATTTTAAATTATATTATACTGTAATATTAATAGTCTTTCTAGTTACATTAAGGATGTATTACAGCAGATTGCTCTGGGTAATATTTAATCATTGTCATAATGTTGCATTTGTATTTTTCAAAGATGTCAGGAAAAAAGCAGAAAGATATTTTGTCATTTTGGGCACCAAAGGGTAAGCCCCCTAAAAAGGTTGCCAGATTAGAGGAGGAGACAGTGGAAGAGGTGGTGCACTCTAATCTGTCCATTTGTTCTCAATGTCCCACAACACAATAAATCATTCGTCTATAGAAGACGCATTCAAAAATCAAATTGCAATTTTTAAAGATTTGTTTGAAACTGTTTGGAGCAATTTGTTATATTTTTGGTTAGCTATATTTGTAATACTGCATTAAAAAGTATTTGATGTGATGAATTGCTCTGTCATTTATCAGATTTACTAATTGTTATAATTTTAATTTGTTCTGGTTAATTATGAACAATGGGTAAAATTGGGGGCGGGATGGGTGGGGCGGGGCTTCATTATGGCTCCTCCCCTAACCGTGTGTGATCTCACTCCAAGCTTTTGCTCAAACTTGAGAACCCTGCTCCTCTGTCCATTCTTCTTTACCATCACCGTTTGAGTCCATTCTGTGAGCAGTGCAGCATGGGATTGTGTTTACATCTGGTCAAAGCTCTCTTCATATTTCAGTGCCTGCCATTTGAGCCGCTGTATTTGAAGTCAGTTTAGACTGAATTCAATGACAGCAGCACATGCAGCTCCAGCATTCTCCATGCACTGTTATGTCCAGTGTATAATGATGACGCCTTGATGAATGCTGCATTTTTCTCACTGTATCTCTCTGCCCTTGTTCATGTGTTTACCTGCATCCTCACTGGACGATCTACAACAGGAGACAAAAAAACAAAATAAAGCAGATGGCTAAAGAAAAGCTTTGCAGAGTCAGCGTTGATAGAGATGATGCATGACAGCGTCCTTCTGCTACATAATAATCAAGCAGACGATCCAATAGCTGGCGTGTATTTCACAACATCTCTCCTCCTCTTGTTTTCAAAGTCGCCCATCCCCATCTCTCTCTCTCTCTCTCTCTCTCTCTCTCTCTCTCTCTCTCTCTCTCTCTCTCTCTCTCTCTCTCTCTCTCCTCTCTCTCTCTCTCAGTGTTTGAGAGATATGAGTGGGTGGGTACGTGCAGCCAATTCAATACCTATCTTCAAGGCCAAACAGTAACATTCTATGAAGAGAAACCAAAGAAAAAGTGTAAATAGGCTATCTACAAACTAAAAAGTGGACCAGTGAAACACTGAATACACTCTTAAAACACTCTTTTCTTTTGCACTGATGTCACTGAAAAACCATTTTGGCATGTTTAGAACCTTTCAGTCAACAGTTCTTACCTTTTGTGGAAGGGAAATATTCCATGAATGTTAAAATGGATTGAATTTAACTCCAAACACTAGTATTGGAATCATGAATATGCAAATTACCTGTATACTAGCCTACTGTAAACGCTGCACAATGGTACTGTAAATTATACAAGGTTGTCTAAGTCAAATCAGATACTGTGTTTTATGTATCTCTTCTCTATATGTTGGACACATAACAGTGATTAGCCTTTTGCTTGACTACAGTAAACAAACCATGTTCCCCAAACTCAGAGTCAGACAGTTGCCTTCTAAAACTCAGCATCCTTAGAAACGCTTTAACAATTTAGAACGTCAGTGGAGAAAGCATAGTTCATCATAAAATCGTAATAATTATACTATATTCCTAAATGTACCCAATTTTTTATATCAACAGAAATATACCTGGCCTCTCTTGAGACTTCCCTGCTTTGCAGCAAATGATTATCGCAGTAATGAACGATAAAGCCTGCCCACATTGACGTGACTGATCAAATGTTTGTGATGTAGAGAACAGGGGAGATTTCAAACCACATTTTTTGATACTGTCTTTGGTAAACTCTTTTAAGGAGAAAATACTCGGAAATAGTGTTAGTATAGGCCACATTTGTCTTCTTAATGCATTAAAAAACCCACACAGACATATTAAACACATTAAAAACTTCAGTAACGCTTTAGATTACACCCCTGGAAAGTAATTAAGACGAATTTACAGTGTAACTTTCAGTAATTATAGTGTACCTAAAGCACTTGCATGTAAGTATAAGGGAACAATATGTAAAGTTTGGGAAATAAAGGGGTAACAACCAGAAGAATTAAAAAAAATATTTATACTGTAAGTATTATAGAACTATGTGTCTTTTTAAAAAATGGAGGGTATGTACTGCATCTGTGCATTTATACAGTAATCTTTTTTAACAAAAGTGGACTGTCAATTAAAACTATTGCAACTTACATATTGGGGAAAGATACTCTTTTTTTCATTAGTGGTGCAGGGTAAGTATACAATAAAAATAAATACACAATCTTATATCATTGACTCAGAAAGGTTTATTTGAAAAACAACTTAATTCACAACACTTATAATGCAAGCTCATGTGTTCCTAAACGGTGGAGCATCAAACAGCACACATATAGTCTAGTCAATTTAAGCCAAAATGGGGGTCAACCTTGAACAAATTGCAACAGAAGCAAACTCAACTGATTTTGTATCCTCAATATGTCCTGAGTTAGGAAAAAAAGCCTTGAAGAATCCCATTTGGGGAAAGTTTAGAAAAAGACCCAAATATATCCCATTCATTCACATATTCATTATTTTTCTCACGTGAATAGGGTAAAAATTTTAACCTTTAGATATCATCATGAAAATCACTGAGTTGATTACTTGCATAAATTGCATTTTTTTGCAATTGTTTGTCAACATGGACAAATGGTGCATATCTGCTAATTTGCATAAAAACCTAAACAGATCTAAACATTGGGTATAGCAGGTGAAAATGTCTTGTAGAATTTTGTTGACATATAACAGTAATCTATTTAATATTAAGGTCTGAATGGAACCCATTTAGGCTACCCATGAACATTATTATAGGAAGAAGTACTTTAGAAACAAGCCTTTATTAATTATTATGGCAGAGATGGGGTTTGGGGCTGGGTCAGTGGGTCTGTTTCTGGGGATGAGTTTGAGGGAAGAACAGGAGACACAAGGAGAATGCAGAAGACAAAAGGTAGGTGAAATAAAAAGTGTCTGGATCAAAAAATCTAATTACATACAATGCACTTGTCACAGTCCTTCGTCTGCGCCGGTCCGTCTTCGTCATCTGCACTACACTTCCCAGGATCCTCTTGTCTCTACTCCCGAACTCACTCCCTCATCAGCCACCTGTTCCTCGTCTTGTTCATCAGTATCACCTGTCTTCACATCATTATGTTTGATTCATCTGTGTATTTAGTTCTCCCTCCTTCAGTCTGTCTTTGCCGGTCAATGTTAGTGTTACTACGTGTTTGGAGTGTTTCCTGCCTGTTCCTTGTATACCTGTTTGCTATTGTGAGTTTAAGTAAAGTTATTGAATTGGAGCTCCTGCCTCTTCGGTCTGTCTTCCTCAGCCTGCACTCCACCACACCCTGTGACAGCACTCAATGCTCAAACCCCATCTCTACAATAATAATTAATTAAGGCTGGTTTCTAAAGTACTTCTTCATGTATTAATGTTCATGGGTAGCCTAAATGGGGTTGACCTTAACATTAAGTCTTTTACTGTTATATGTCAACAAGATTAAAAAAAAAATGGTTAGATCTGTTTGGGTATGCTAATACATAATTATAGTATGCACCGTTTGTCCATGTTAACAAACAATTAAAAAAAACTTGAAATACATTTTTTGTTTGTCTTGATATAAGTAATCAACTCAGAGATTTTCATGATGATATCCAAAGATTAAAATTTCTACCCTATTCACGTTAGAAAAAGAATGAATGCGAATGAATGGGATATATTTAGGTCTTTTTCTAAACTTTCCCATGATTCTTCGCTTTTTTTCCTTACTCAGGACATATTGAGGATACAAAATCAGTTGATTTTGCTTCTGTTGCACTTTGTTCAAATTTTTTCATAAAATAACTGGACTAATACTGCAAAAACTGTAGTAGGCCTAATCCACACGACACCAATGGATGGATCAATATCTTCTGAAGGGAAACGATAAGTGTTTGTAAGAAAAATTACAATATTTTAAACTTTTTAAACTGTAGACTATCTCTTCAGACTAAATGTAATAAGTTGTTTTTCAAATAAAGGTTTCTGAGTCAGTGATATTAGATTGTTTATGTATTTTTATTGTACTTACCTTGTAACTACATGGAACACGAGGGTAGCAAGCCCCACTTAACCTGTATGGAACAAAAGTATATTTCCCAGTATTTTAAAAAATTGCAATAGTTTTAGCTTTACTTTTCCCTTAAATTATGTAAGGCAAAACTTAGACATCTGCACTTTTGCTATAAAACATACAAACAACTGTTTAAATAGATGTAGTGTACCCTATAATTGTTAAAAAAGCCTATACACAATATGTATTGGTACACCATTTTTACAAAAAGGCACGTAGCCTATTGTATGTTCTTGCTAAATTGCTCCCAAATGTAAGATTGTTAATTGTAGAATAAGTTCCCTTTAGTTCAATGGTACTTACAGTATAAATATTTTTTATTAATTCTCCTGGTTGTTACCCCTTTATTACCCTTTGTATTAAATATGTATTAAACTTTATATATTGTTCTCTATACTCACATGGAAGTACTTTATAGGTACACAATAATTACAAAAAACTTACACTGTGAATTCATCTTAATTACTTTCCAGGCTGTAATCTAAAGTGTTACCAAAACTTAATTTCACCACATGGGGGCTTTAAAGTTTCTGTCACATGCCTGTCCTGTCTTGTGTTGCACTTGGGTGTTTGTTGTTTAGTACCATGTGTTCTCTTGTCATTGTATACCCCGCCCATCTTGTTATCTCATTATTGGTTCATTTGCCCCAACTGTCTGTTCGTTAGCCTCCTTTGTTTGCCTCTCTATTTAATCTCCTTGTGTTCTCAGTACTGTGCTGGTTCGTTGTCCATATTACCCTGGTTCATGTTTCTTGTTTTAGAATATCGTGTATACTGCCTGTTTTCTCTCTAGTTTTCCCCCACGAGGGAGTTTTTGTTCTTGATTTATGTTTTATTATTTTCTTAATAAATACTCATTATTTGCACTTGAGTACTCACACCTTTTTTCCCAACCCGTTCCGTGACAGTTTCATCATGGAACCATCAATGCCAATTTTGAACCTTTATGACACAGGAGTTATTTTACACAAACATGCTGTGAATTTCAGAGCCAGATACTGAGTGAAGCTAGTGTTAAACTTGTTTTTCTGTTAAATTAGCGTTAAACTTAGTGTTAAAAAAACACTGTTAAAACAGTAATACTGTATCAAGGCAGCCAAATATGACGGTTCTATCATCATTTACTCATCCTCATGTGGGTCTGAATCTTGATTGGTAAAACTTTACAAAACGGGTGCACTAATAAGCATTAATTCATGCAGTAATGCACATAATTATGAGTTAATATGACTCACGAGGAACTAATTTTATCAGCAACTAATAAAGAGTCTATGTGAATAATAGATTAAGTAATAAATGAATTGCTTTTAATTAAATGTGTCATCATTTATTAATTCCTTAATAACATATTTTATTAACTAATAGTGTAAATTAATGTGTTAATTAGCCTACCACAATTAGTCAAAGTTATGCACTTCAACTTCCAGTTGTCTGCTTTAATTAATCATTAACTAATGTTTGCAAAGGTATCATTATGTTATGACTTTATACTTGTTGAGGCACAAGTAAACAGGTGGCATCTGAGGACTAAATATAATGTTTGTTGTTATTTTGCTTTATTTCTAGATTCAATAGGCTCGTTGGAGACCACTTTCCTGCAGAGTTTAGCTCCAACCTTAATTAAACACACCTGAAGGCAATCAGTTATTAGATAGATAGGTGAGTTTTTATTAGGGCTGAGGTTAGCTCTGTAGGACAGTGCCCTCCAGAAACGAAGTTGCCTATCCCTGTTGTAGTGAGCGGCTGTGAATAAAGGCTACTGTTTATAAAAATGAAAGTTACTGGTGAAAGAATTAAGAGAAATAGGCACAATGAGGTTGCTACTTAAGATTTAAAGGTAGAATTAATTAATTAATGTATTATTATTATTTAATTATTAGTTTCCCCCCCATTTTCCATTATTAATTAATGGTACCTGATGGTACACACTCCAGACCAGTAGTTGGCGGGGATGCCCCATTTCGTTTTTTCAACCCGCCCAAAAGAATAAGATGCTCTTCATACATGTGTTACAACCGTCTGGTTACAACCGGTTAACGTTACATCAAATTGAATGAATGCGAACTTCGCTGCGTACTGTTGGAATTATGCGTTTGAGACGGGCAGATGAAATGATAAAATAACCTAAAGTATCGTAAAAACAGGTAAGCAGATAAACGAAACGCGGACTTCTATTCAAATTACCTTTCTTTCTCTGGACAAAAAACAAGCAATGTGAATTATTTTGATCGTGATCACTTCCTCACACACTCCCTCTCTCTGTGAGTGAACTGAATTTGCTCTTGTTTATTTAGTTATAGTAACGTTATGACACCACGCAGCGACTGGCTCCGGTGTTACGGATCAACTGGGGATCATGTTAACTGGGGACGCGCGCGTGCACGCAGACAGTTTTACCTGGATTTCCAGCAGATGTTAAACGGTGACAGATTCGTCACAGCTATTTTTTCACTGAGCAGATTTCCAAAGCTTTCCATTTTATTGTTAAATGTTTGCATCATATTTTGGCTCTGTTGTTTACTCTGCGCTGCTCCGCTGTATGTTTCAGACGCCTTTAAGGGAAGTTTTAATGTGCTTTAATTTCGCGACACACAGAGCACGCCCACATTATTTTTTTACATTAGTTTCAATAAAATTTGTATCTGATGACAACTGTAAATATATTAAATAAATTATACTATTGGCATTGTGTATTTGCAGTGCTTGTGTATTCGCAGATTATTGTTATGATGCCAATTTGTGGCTTAATTAAAATTGAGCAGCAATACTGCTGTGGTTAAAGGGACATGTCAAGCATTTATTTATTTATTATTTATGAATTTTAATGTTTCTGAGGAATGAGTTAAAACATAAAGCATACAGTACACTCCATAAATGTTCATAAAGAGTGGTGAAAATTGATAAGCCATATAGCTTATGGATCCAGTGATTTACCCACAGCATTTATAGGGAATGTTCAACAAACATATTCATTAGCTAACTGTTAGCTAATAAATATGTTTGTTGAACATTCCCTATAAATGTTAAACAGCTAAACAGACCTATGAAAGCAACAAAAGAAAGAAAAAAATAGGCAAATGTGCATGCATGCAGCCAGGACAGCTTTTTTGCCATCTGTGAAGGTCTGACCACACAGTCTCACCTTCTGAACATTCAATCTAAGGAAGGATGAACAAACTATAGAATAAGTTAGAATTACATGCTAATGAAGAACAGTTACTTGTTTTGCAATGTGTATAATTTTTTCTTACCCATTGGCCAGTTTGGCCTTACTGCTCTCCATCTCAGTTAAATCATGGTATATAGAAAATAAATGTCAGTTGTATTACCTTTCTATAGTAAGAGCAATTTAACACACAATCACCCTTCACTGAGAAATGTTCACATCTCCTTTTAGTGTTCCTTTATTGAGCAGCTGCCAAATAATGGTTATCCTACAAAGTTTTTGATTTGTGTAACTTTAATTGCATCAATTTGCTGTGGTAGTCTATGGCCTAACAACAATGACACCAGTAACAATAATGACACTTAATTTATAGACCTTTTGAGCACTGGCATAATTTATATTACATAAAAAGTTGCCCAAACACATTATATTTTATTTATAAAACTCATAGACTATTCTGTAATATTTCTTTTGTTAAAGATGTCAGCAAGTAAACAATAAAGCATTTCGTATTGTTTTAGAGAGGGTCATGACATTCATGTGAGGTGACAAATGATTAAGAGGTTAGTGATGTAGGTGAAAATTAGACATAGGCTAGAGAATATCAGGCCTATACTGTATATTTGTAATAAGTCATCATCACAATATCATATGTTCTGCTTATTTCAGTAATACACTCTGTGTTTTTCACAGGACTTTAATCACTAAAGACAAAGTGTTCTCTAAATGTCCAATACAAGACATTAGAAAGGCTACACAACATTCAAGTTTATGCTACTGAGCATAATGTACAATGTTTAAGCAACTTTGCATTTCAAGGTACACATTCTAAAGTCTCATAAGTTCTTGCTTTCCCTGGGAATTGAACCCACGACTCTGGTGTTGCGCACACAACACTCTACTATTTGAGCTACATGAACAACACAGCTGGTTGTTCAAAAAAGAGATCTAAATATCATCAGAGTAAAATAAGCTGATAAGATAAAAATAATTGATCCATTATAAAATTAGGCTATATATGCAGATCGAAAAATGCAACTTGTTGAAAAAATGTAAATGACTTTGCAATTTATGTTTCTTTTAGGTAGCCTACTTTAACTTAATCTAACGTTACATCTGTTGTTATTTGTGATTAGAACTCATGACAACACAAGTGCGCTGACAAGTCTGTTCATCCAATGAAAGCGAATGACCCTTGTTAACATGGGCGTGGTTTCTGAGCTTGACACTAAAGTATGCTAAACTTCTTTCAAAATGCGTCAAATACAAAGGAATATCATACACTGCAAAAACAAAGCGCTTTATTTGCATACCGTGTACTGGTAACTGGTGAAATATTCGTTTTTATCGGTGAAAAATAGGGCACGAATCTGTCGCTGGAAATCCAGGTAAAACTATTTGCGTGCACGCGCGCGTCCCCAGTTAACATGATCCCCAGTTGATCCGTAACACCTGTTGTCACACATTTTCACACACACACACGCACACACACACTGTTGGAGAAGAACATCTTTCACACACGCTACGAAAGAACGAACCGATAAGTTGGCCTGTAATTATCCGGATTTCAGCAATACATTTCACTTTATAAGCCTAACTAACACTTATGCAGGACGAGATATGTTACGTCGTCTTTTCTTTAATTTGTATTTTTTAATTGCAAAGAAGAAACATCACTGCAGTTGAAATACAAAAACACATAACCATTCAACAAAGACAAGGTTAAGAAGCATTATGTTGTTGTTGAGACTTCTGTTAAATGGCAATCATTTCAAAATGGTAAAATATTGCCAGGCCGATATTACTAGTCAGTATAGGTGCATATCCTTTGAATGATGATAGAACTTAAGCAGGTTATTTACTATGACTGAAGGTGCCTTGAAAGAAACAATTGAAGCAAAAAGAAATAAAAGGCCTTTCAATGAAGAAGTGGTGTGAATAGACAGGCAATAAAAAGCTCAGCATTTATTCACTGGTCTTTTCTGAAGAAGGGGTGGACAGGTTGCCTATAGAGAGATGTTTTGTTAAATTTGGAGGTTTGTTGTAGACTGAGAGATTTGTTTTATGCTGGAATAAACCACCAGTTAGGATATAAATGGGTTAGTGCCAAATAAGAGTCTCCATAATAAAGAAAAGGATGACTCTTTCAAATGCACAAAAAGCTAAATTGACCAATATATTTATATGCTAGTACTGAAAATTATGAAATTGTCAGTCGTCCTTATGTTGGGTTGCACGGCACAGTAACAGTTCAACTGATAATCATGATTATTTTGCTCAGAAATTACAATCATATATAATTATTAAGATGACTGCACTTTGTTGCCACTATTTTTTTGAAATCCTCAAGCATTGGTATTTTTTTAAAAAGGGCTCGAAGACTTTTTATGTCAAGCTTTTGCTGTTTGATTAGGTCTGAGAACTGTGAGTTATTGCTTGTATGATTTCCTTTGTCATGTTTTTGTTATTTTATGTTTCTATGTATTTTTTTTTTTAGTTATTTAATACTTTTGGACAGTTCTTTGGTCCATTCTAATGGTTTTGAAAGTGTTTTGTGAAAAAAAAAAAGTTGAAAAGAGTTGAGCTTTCACTAAAGAGTATTCTGTATTTTGGAAATCGAGTAATCCGGGGGATTATTTTGACGATAAATCAAGTAATTGGATTATTTTTGTGGTAATAAAAATATACCGAAGTAAACAATAACCAATGAAATTACTTAAAATATATATAGGCCTGGGTATAATAATGAGGCAATGATAATTGGGGTAAATATAGCTATGATTATTTTTAATTAGTTAAAAGATTAAAATACGATTGATTGTGCGATTGTTTATTTAATGAAAAACATTGCCGAAAACGTGATTTATTTAACTAGATTTTTATCCATTCTTGTAAACATTGAGAAAGTGCAGATAGGCTATAATAACATTTTCTTTCGATTTTTCTGCAACGTTTGTTGTATCACACATGCTTCCTGTTTCCTTCTTTAACTCTGTCTCTGGTTTACTGACAACTTTTAAATCCTGTGAGACTTCTGAAATATACAGATGTTTTGAAAGGAAGCAGGCCATCTAAATTCCCATCGTCCCCTCCCTCATGTCCCCCTCTGAGTGTGTGTAATGGTTTGGATAAACTATTTGTGAATCATCACTTTGTCTCTTGTGAAGATAATTTGTGAGCTGCTGTGCTGTTGGGTATAAATGGCCTGGCTTTCACAGTGGATCTTTGTTTCCATGCATTACTGGGTTAAATGGAAAAGAAAACCCTCCAGGGTACTTTTTCCTGTTTATGGATTCAAGTTCCTCCTTTTGAAAAAAGCATACTCTAGAATACTTTTAAAAAGAGAACTTATTACAAAAATAATTTACCTATAAAATGTATACTTGAGTGCAACCTGCAATGTAATGTTTTGAGTATTTGCAATTAATTAAAATGTATTTAAGTTTCAATTATTATTAAATGGGAAAACAGCTAAACTTAGATGATCTTGCTGAACTTGAAGCTAAAATATACTGTAATGCAATTATTGAATCTTCTGTCAAGTATTTAAATGTTCGTAAACAAATTTGTAATAATGAAGCTGTAATTTAGTTTAGTAAATAGTTAATTGTCTGTTATTAAATCCTCTTATATTTTAACTTTTTTTTTTCTCACATCCATTCTTCATGCATTTAATTTTAAAAGTACCTCAGTTTTTTTTTAAGTTGTAGAGTTGTCTTTTTTTCCTCTTTTTGTTCAATCAGATATACTAGGTTTGCTCTTTTTGGGTTAGAGTTTTTGTGAGAGACTGGTACTTTATTTTATTTTTGACTATTAAACTGATCTATGAGTTAAATTAGTTAAATTGGTGTATCACAATACATCATTTGTGTGATCTGTCTCATGAAATCGTTGTCGGGATAATTCCGGTTCCCGTGGCTAAGCTGAAGTGATACAATTCTGTATTATAATTAAATTTTTAAGGCCAGACAAGTACTT